TCAAGGACTTTTCAGTTTACCGTGTTTTCCAGGGAGGAGGTGCACAAGAAGCCAGGAGGGAACATGGCCAGGACAGCTGGCCCAAACTAACCATAGGCATATTCCATGCCATAGAGCACCCTGCCCAGTATATAAACTGGAGAGAGTTTAATGGGAGCCACCAATCAACTCGGGAAGGGGTTGGGCATCGATCAGCAAGTGTTGAGCAGCTGTATTGGTCACCATTTGCCTTTCTAGGGGTTTATTTTTCTCTGTCTTTTTGTTGTCTCCATTTTTATTACAGTTATTTTTTAATTATTTTATTTTTTTCAATTATTAAACTGTTCTTATCTCAACCTACAGATGTTACCTTTTTTTTTTTCCTGTTTTTCCTCTCTATCCCACTGGGATAGCTGAGGGTGGTGAGCAAGCTGGCTAGTTTCTGGCTAGAATTAAACTATGACAGCTGGCAATATTTTTGGTTTTGTGTTCTTTCAGTATTTCTCAGGACACCCTTTTCAAACTATTTTCTAACTGTGAACACCCCAGTTTACTCTGTATCATTTTTTCATTCTGGAAAGCTGTGATGCTCTTTATGCTCACCATTAAGGTAAAGGATGTGCAAGTAATAACCTTTGCTATTTTGATATCCCTTGTAGCAAAACAGGATTTTATATCACGGATTTCAGGGTGGCAACCCTTGCTTCCAAAAATTGAGACACAGCAGGAACATCTGTGTTTGCCACCTGCACAACATTTCCTTCTAGGATCCTGGGGTTGGTTATGGGGCTTCCAGACATTCCTACTGCCTGTTCCCCTGGGTACATAGCAAGGAGACAACAGGTTTGCAACTATAACACTGATGCATGTAATTCTAAACTCTTTAGCACATCCTGCTGTCACTGGAACAGTCTGCTTAGGTTTGTTTGAACGCTCACCAGCATCTCTCCCAGTTGTGTCCGACCACTCATCCCTGCATTCCTTTCTAGGCAGCCTGCTTTTTGCTGTTAACAGCAAGGTGTTGACCCTGGCAAAGCAGCCAGGTATTGTGGAAAAGAGCCTTCCCCATTACTGGCCACCCATTATATCCTTGGAGAGGAAAGGATTGTTTCTGTTCCTTTTTTTTTTTTTTTTCCCCTTTGCAGAATTGATTTATTTCTGAACATAGCAGTATTTATTGCTTACTTTCCTAACTTCTCCTCTTAATCCTGCAACTGCCATTAGATAAAATAATGAACCGAGTTACGTATTCATAAAGGCAGTGTAAATATTTGTTCTTCGCTGTATTCCAGTAAAATAATGTTGTCATGGATTATTGGCAGTAAATTATTTTAAGTTATATATTTAAAAGTAAACAAAGCTATATACATGAAACTATCTTGGATCATTTTTCATCCAGCATCTTATTTTTTGCTTTTATCATTGTTGCTATGAGATCTGAAATCTTAATGCCCATATTTTGATTTCCAGAGTCATCTTATTTCATTTCTATTGCAAATGCATTCTACTGAGAAATTGTAAACAGTTTTCTACATTTTCTGCTCCCCTTCCCATCTTCCAAATCAGGCCCAATTCTGATAATATCATTTGCATGTTGTCACTAATAGTGGTCCACTGGGTCTATTACAATTCTCTTGTTTGGGTTCTGCATTTTACATTTGGCTCTTGAAACGTAGCTGGGGAGGAAGAAGGGCATATAATCTCAAATAAACCTCTTTTTTTTCCAAATTTGTAGAAACTATTTGCTACTCCAAGAGAAAATAAAGGAAAGATGGATGCTCTTTAATTTCCAGTGTGCTCTTTATCTCAAAAGCAGATTTTCTATTTGACAAAAACATGGTGAGGCATTACTCCCAAGTACCAACTAGAACCTATGTACATATAAAGTATAAAGAGAACTAGGACATTTTGAATGTATATTCATATTTTTTTCATAAAACTCCCCATTACATATTTTAACATTTGAATCCTGCCCCAATAGATGGCAGCACTTTTCCTCAGCCACAATGATCTCACAAATTCCTAGTCCACTTTCTTTATATAGAGTGCATTTATGAAATAGGCTGTAATAGATCCTTCAGGGATGCTTCATAAACAGTTCTTTTTTTTTTTTTTTTGGATGGACAGACACAAAAATAAGCAAATGGCAAAATCTTGAACAGCTTGAATTATTAGAAATGAGTGACCGTAATCTACCCAGTGCTGATACGTTTTTCCTCTTTAAAGTAAAATAAACTCCATAACTTACAAACATGTCATTTCTTTCTTATTCTGAGAATTCTCAGTAAATTTTCCTGATATCACAGGTCTCCAGGACTTTACTCTTCACACTGCTTAACTTTCATGAGCCTCCAGCAATAAACTGGTGCTATCAGACAGTTGAAACCTCTGAGAGGTGTTTTTCAATAGATTTTTTTTTTTTTTTAGGATTTTTTAAGATGTCAAGTCTGTAAATATGGTGCAGAATCTGAAGCACAAAATGCAAGAAGTTTCTGCTCCCTCTCAGCATGTTTGGGTTTTGAGTAATGGTTCATGCTATGTGTTGCAGTTCTTAAGAGAAGACGTTTAGAGCTATTTAAAATTGACTATCTATGGAGATGTTTCTAAATACATTTCAAGCTATTAGAATGCAGAGCCATTGCCTCTGTAGGAGGAGCACTGAATGGTCTAGCACTCTGATGACTAAAGAGAAACTCTTAGCAACCTAAATTTAGGCACCTCATTTTAAAAACTTTGGCCCAGATATGTGAACCCAGAAGAATGAGTTACAATAATTCATTTCAAATTCCCTGGCTCTTTCAGCTCCCCAGACTTAGCATTTATTCATACAAATTGCTCACTGTTGCAGATAAATCACAAAATGTAGCCAGTGCAATAACTCTGCACCTAGGCATTATTTAATTCTGTGTTGGAAATGCTGGCAGTACTTTGCTTTTTCTCTAGATGTTGCCACACCTGGCTATTTTGACTTTGTCTGAACATTTTTGGGGGTGAATAGGGAGAAAATGTACAAGGTTTTGCCCTCCTGTTCATCACTGCTACTTTTCCTAAGAGCTGCTATTCCTCAATTGGGTGGTCAGTTTAATCTTCCTGCCAGCTTAAAATAAATGCAAAGGAGACAATTACCAAAGGGGACAATTTTTCACTGCATGCTTAGGAGAGGATTATTTTATCAGAAGTGTTGTCTCTAGTGGTTCTCATCTGCTTTGACACCAGTTTTCGTTATTTTCCCGTTATACTGTTTATGATGATGAAAAGAATTACTGTGCCCTGTCTGTGTTGATTTTTCTCTTTCCATGAGCTTGCGGTTTCTCTTTTGGGATTTTTGTCTCTTTAAAGGAGTACTTCACCTGGTGGACATGAGAAATAGGTGGAGATATGTGTGCTGGCCTCAATTTTCATATGTTTGTGTGGGTAATGCAAATGATTAAAATTTTAACCCACATTTATTTAGGCAAGTAATTTATACCTTTTTTTTTTTTTTTAAGCACAGTATAAATTAAAATTATTGTTAAAAATGTTGGTGTTGGCTACTTAATGAAGTTTTGCTTTGTTTGGTTTTTTGGGGGATCAGGTAACAGTACTCCCTTAGCCTATATTAAGGATGGATCTCTTGTCATTTCACTGCAACCTTAGAAGTTGTGGGCGTTTATTCTAAGCCAGTCATCTGTAGTCAGTGTCATCAGCGAAGGTGATTCATCCCATCTGATGCTAAATGTCTGAGAGGCTTATTATGCAAATCTGTTCTGAAGAGGAAGGTGGTTGATGATGTTCCTGCTCTGCCCAGTGCCACAGTCTACAGAGTCTCTCTGTATCAGTGAAATTGTTTTTGAATGGAGTTCAAAAATTATCCAGGTTAAGAAGCAGTAACTGGAAGTATTTTGTTGATCTGTTATTTGGATTTTTAACCATGTTCATTTCATGGGGCGTTTATAACAGAGCAATAAGAATATCTGTTCAATAAATGGGGTCATACTGGCAGAGAAGAAAGAAGTGGTTGAAGGCAGGAACATTCAAAACTTTGTGTAATGAACCGCCTTCTGAAATACGTGTGTGCACTGGGACTGTCCTGTTTCATTAGGTGAGATGAATACACAATAGTAATTGTTTAACCATGTATTAAGCAGGACATTAACAATATCACTAGCAGTGTAATGTACACCTCTTGGTGCTTGCTATTGCTTTATTAGACTGTTAAGGATCTTCAAGTGAGTTTATCTATGTCAAACAAGGGAAGTAGTTAAGAACTTGTATATACATTGCCAAATCTTTCCACTGAGGTCCTCGGTACTAATAATATAAATAAATAATAGTGCTGTTTGGGATAGCAATCTTTCCTGGTTTTAGCTTCCTAGTGAACCATGAGGGTTGCTTCTATATGGATAAATATGCTAACTGCTGAGGTGGGCTCTTTCTTTATAATATGTTGTGATTGTCCAAGTCCATTCCAGGAAGCCAGAAAAAGTGACCGTGCAAACCATAACTTCACCTTGAGTATTGTGTAAATATGAAGAGAGGATGACTTGTATAAACTTCACTTGGGTGTCTCAGAGTGGTGTTCTCCATGAAGTAGGTTAACCAACTGTTAAACTACCAGAGTTGCAGTGAGGCAGAGACAGTATGTTTTGGGAAGCACGTTGAAAAGAAACTCAATCTAGTAGGATGCATTAGATATATCATACCAAAGCTAAACCTCATGAACTGCATGTTTGGTGTGCAGTTGTTCATCACAGAAGCCCTTATGCTGATGTACCACCCTGCTCCAGTGTGCTTTTGTGGTGTATATATACATGGTCAGGGTACTTTGGTTTAGGAACTGAAGTCGGGGAAAGGTGAATATCACCTATAAGAGACTGTCCTATGGAGCAGCAGAGGAAGAGATGAAAAGAACTATACTGAAACAATAGCAATTAAAACAATCAAAATGAGCTTTATAGTACGTTTTTATATAAGTTTTTTTCTGGAATATATTTCACATGTTTTATTTATTTTTATTATTATGTTTCTTTTTATTTTTGTAGGCTGTGGAAACCAACCTTGCATCAAAGGATAGTCACTGGGTCTATGTAAATGAGGTAAGAAAGTCAAAAGAGAAAATAGTTTCTGCATTGACTCATCACCATTTTTTGTTTCATATGTTTTGAAACACCAAACTGAGAATATACTTAACTGAACTGAGCATATACTTAACACTTTTTCTTTTTGAATGGCACAAGATGCAAACTCTGCAGTGTCATTGCTTGCCTGTCTTAGTTGAACTGGCATAGGTTCAACACCCGAGGTCAAGATAAAGCTTCCAATATACCTCATAGCAGCTGGGAGACTTTACTTTTACCTGCATGCTGATGCTATTTCATTAGCAATTTGGGAAGCAGAGAATATCTCAAAAGGAATGTCAAATATAGGCATCTCTATCTACCAGGAGCTCACTCTTCACTGCTATGAAAGCCCTCACGCAGGTGCCAGGACAGGAAAGAGCGCTGAGGTGGTTGGGAGCTTAGCTCATTCAAATTTACGTGATACACAGGTTTTCTCTAGTGCAGAACTGTGTTGGTGTATTGGCCAAGATCCAGAAGAGCATAGATTCAAAATGTGATGTTTCCTCTCTGCAGCAAACGGTGTCCTGTCCTGCTACTGCAATTATTTATTTTACCTTAGTACCATTATGTCCTAATGGGAATCCATTCAGATTTGAATTTAGAAAGCGATGAAATGTTGTAGCATATATAATAATTTATAAATCACTGATAAATTGCAGTATTTTATACATTTGTGGTTTTAATAATGATTTGTTAAAAGATAGCATAATATCTAAGTTAAAAAAACAGTGTTCACTGTCTTATTTTTATACTATAAATGCATAGCCTTTAATTTATTAATGAATTCCTTGGTTAATTTCTCATTCCTTTCTTTGCACCTAGTTAATAATTTCGGATAGGCAAGTTTTAATTGTACCTATAAATTGTACTGTGTGGCATTAGAAAGGCTATGTAATTAAATAGGGGTTAGGGAAAGCTAGTGAAATCCCAGCTTGTGAAGGCTTTATAAATTCTTTCTGATCCTTGTTACATTTAAGTACCTCCTGCCTTGTCAGCTGCAGTAATGACCCACTACAAAACATCAGCAAGGTGCCCAGAGAGTCAGTGTTTATATCCACATAAAGATAATACAGTGCATATTTCCCTAAACATTTATAGAGGGGGAGCATTGGTGAGTATTTTATTGTTGTGTTACTTGTTCAGATGTTAAAACTCACTTCATGGAGCCTGAATCTGGAACATCACAATAAAAGCCTTCAGCAGTCATGCACTAACATGTGCATGCATACACATGCACGAGCACATCACACAGGGTCTCAGTTCTGCTTCTGTTTTGGGAGCTTTTTATTTTTTCTCTATTATGGCTAAAGACTGGGTAGGGAAGCCATGATAGCAACATGTAAATCTAAAGTATAACTTTCTGGTGAAAAATATTAGTACCCATAATTATAAATATCATAAAATGACATTAAATTCTAACAGACAATTACAGAAGCTTTTTAGACTCATGAAACTTTGAGGAACTCTTTGCAGGCATAAATCTCTTGACTGTCCTCTCTTTAACAGAAGAGTGTTGGTCTTTGTGTGTGTGCTTAGAGCTACTATGAAAAGAAGGTACATTAAGCATCCACATGAATGCATCTAAAGGCAGATGGAGATTCCTTATGGCTTGCTTCTTATTTAAGTGTGCATGTGAATACCCCCATGCTAGTAAGAAGACAGACTGATCATCATTTCCAGTTGGTAGTAGTGACAACTACAGGAGTACTTGATGGAAAATATAATGCTGATTGTTGCTGTGATTTGAAGAATGGAATGAACTTTTAATGCCCAACAATCAACTATTCCCAGTCAAATCAGCTCTTTTTGATGTAATTCTGGAAGTGAAGCAGTCCATTATGTAAATGTACCAAAAACTCAGCTAGGCCTTTTTTTCTCCCAGGCAGATCAAAAATCCCACCCTTTCCTGTTCACCCCATGTTCTGTGTGACCTAATGATCCTATTGCAAGGAAAGAGAAGTGTAGGGCTGAAGAATTTAAGGACCTTGAACAGCTTAGATTGCTGAGGTCTACTGGTCTGGAACACCTTTTTTCTGCCCTGTCTTTCACCTTTTGTCAAACCAATGAGGATCTGAAACTTGGACTTACCTTGCTGTAGTAAGAATGACTACATAGCATGCTATTATTTCAATAAGAGATCTTTTTTATTGTTTTATTTCACTTAAATCTAGTTTACTATCCCTCTACTAATAATTTGCGGGTTTTTTAACTTGTGCACCTTCTCATACAGTAAGTCAGGAGTTAGGCTTTGGAGTTAGACTTAAATTTTGTTAGGTGAGCAGCACCGCCCAGCTTGGGATGAGATAAATTAAATCTCTATGGCTGGTAAGCTTATCGACCAGCAAATGAACGAATGTGGAATATAAGAGTTGTTCCCAAATTACAGAGCTGTACTGTCAGAATCCTGTTTGGTAGCTTTCAGTAACCCAGGTCTCTGTGCTGGGGCATCTGTTGAGTTTGGATACCACTGCTGGTGCAATAGGACTCTGTCAACTCAGTGAATTGAGAGTTGAATTTATTGCATAGGGTTGGAAGGCTGAAACAGTACATGGCAAGTTTTCTAGGATAAGATAATACACAGAGATGGGTCTTAGCAGGCAATATCATGTCCTCATACGTCCTCTTTGAAGCCAAGTCATAAAAACCTTACTGCTTTAAAAATATATACTTTTAAGTGTGTCTACTTTTCTGATTTCAGACGTGTTACGTTTCAAACTTGCAGAACCGTCAAAAGTACTGGAGATTAGAGGGGGAAAAATCTTTTTCTAACTACCCACCCCCTTTTAGATTTATATTTCATCATCTGCACTTTTTTTTATTTATCTAGAAACACTAAACCATCCCTGGCATTCATTTGGGTAGCAATTCTTCCTGAATTCTGGGTTAAACATGCCGAGTAGCTTTTTAAGAGCAAGAATACTTGTGATTTCTGTATAAAGCCATGCAAAAGCAAACAACTCTTCCAAACAATGACATGCTTAGCTGTGTCTCCAGATTAGTCCAAAACATTTTATTACCTGTGTTGGGAGTTGCCAGTGACTGGCAGTTTGGACCCTATGGAAGATCTGCTAGAACATACCAGTGTTCTGCTTGTGCCCTTTTTGTTTGTGCTTTTAATTGTTGAAGTGACCCATCAGCTTTGATAGATGTGTGTTGCTGCTTCCTTTGGCATGACTGGCATAGCTGTAGACAACCCTTGTTTTTTGGATGTTAATTTCCTGTCTTTTTTTTTTCCTAGTTTCCCTTCCTATTTTTATTTTTCTCTTTTCTTTCTCTTTCATACCTGACATCAAGCATCTCTGTTCCTCGTGACGTTTTTCGTTCTCCACTTCTCTTTTTCTGCCTTTTCCAAGAAAATGCTATGCCTTCCCCGGAGCATGTATCTGTGGGAGAGGCACAAGGGCACTACTTGAATCTGAGTTTGTATGTGGTTGTACCAGGGCAGGGCTCTGGGAGCCTGTGTCTGCTTCTTTATTAGAAACACCAGTAGGTCTGGGAGGATAAATAGCATTAGAAACCATATTTCTCTCTGGGACATTTAATGGTTTTGAAATTTTCTCCATTCCAAGGATAGAGAAAAGATAAAATATACTATCCTGCAAAACTGTAATACGGACCAAAACAAATAATCAAATTTAACATGGTATTTTATCCCCTCATATTATTACATTTAATTCTAATTCCAATTTTCTAAACGCTCATTATTTTTACATGTAAATCAGTATGAAACACAATGAACTCTTCTTCATGGAAGAGAAATGGGTACTGAGTTTGACTGATAGTTCAATTGAGAGTTGTTTTACTGTTATCTCATCCGTCCTTTAATTTCTTTTTCAATAAACTTCCACCACTCTTCAGAAGTTTAATTCAAAGCTGTAAGACATGGCAAGAAAAAGCACAAGACTACTGATTATATAGGAGATTATTTTTCATGAAAGACTTGTTGTGATGAAGAGATTATAATGTTACATGCCCATACCATATGAACTTACGGAGAAGTGAGGGACAAACCTTGTTCAAAAGCTGCCTGGAAATACACAAAAGAAAGAGAAAGACTGAGAAAGACTTTTTTTTTTTTTTAAGTGTCTTTTTCTTTTTTTTTTTTTTTCTTTTAAAAAAACGCCCCAGAGAAAAGAAATTAAAATAAAGGAAGATTTTAATTTTCCTGGCAGTCAAAAAAGTAATGTTGGGATACAGACAGGACTTGACAATTTCCTGTGATTGAGAACATTATCCCTTCATGTTAAAAAAAGTTAAGGTAGCCATCAGTTCAGATTTCATTATGGCTAAGGAAGAATGGGCTGAGGAAGCCAGAAGATAATTGGTGTGAAAGTGATTATGACATGGTAGCATGCACTGTTTGGAGAAGAGGAAGAGGTGAGAAAAGGTCAATGGGGATAACAGACAGCAATAAAAAGACTTCACAACTTTAGGAAACTAGTAGTGCTTTTGGAAAGATAATACAGTAAATAAAGGATGACAAAAGATCTGTGGAATTCTGTTAAAACTGTCATGATTCCAGTGGGTTAACTTCAGAACCTGAAATTAGAGATGACTTCTAAAGAAAAAGTGTTGAGAAGAAAAAGGGAGGAGTGTAAAGGTGTAACAGAGTAAGTGACTATAAAATGAGGCTGTGGTTCAGAATGAGTCATACCAGGTATCATAAAAAGCAACCAGAAAACATTTAGGTATAGCAGAAGATAAAAGAAAGTATAAGGCAATTACCTGATGGCAAAATGAGGTTTTAATGTTTTTACATTAAAACATTTTTTACATTTACAGTTCCTTGATGCTGACTTTGTAGAAACTATTAATTATAACCAGACTGTTTAAAACATATTGTAGTAGACCCAGTTTATTTGCAAAAATCTGAGGCACTCCACCAGATGTGATTCAGTATAGAGAAGTGCCGAGTATTTTGTGCTTGGCTGCAAAATGTGGTATAGCTGGTGAGCATTTGCAGGAGCAACTTAGAA